TTAATTCTTAGCCATCATCCACATAGGATATCATATTATGTCCTCCAATATTTGATTTTAATTTTCTCCACTTGTTTGCTTTTTCTCTTTTCCCTGGATTATCTTGGTGAAAGCATGGATTGGACTCAAAGCCGTCTCTAATAAAAGGAAAAAAGTGTCAAGAAAATCACAGTTTAATCATAAAATAATGATTATTTTGTAATCATGCAATGCTTACTTTTATTGAGAACAATTATGTGTGAGCGTTCAAAACGTAAGAGGATTTGAAGTTAATGCTTCACTTATTGTTTTGCACTTAATGACACTTGGATAAAGAATTATACTAAATAACTAATTGCACATGTAGTGTACTTATCCACATATTATATTAATAAATAAGATAAATATGTAGAGCTTAAGAATTTATCAACATTTGAGAGAGAATTTCTGATAATGTCTGTGTTTATTCTACTGAATCTCAAATGAGGAAGAAGAGAAGTACATACATATATAGGCAAAATTTTAAAATTGGTCCTATAACTTGGCCACTGTCCAAAAAACCACCCCGATATTGACCACTTTCAATTTAGGTTCTATAATTTGTCGATTTCATAAATTTTGGTCCTTTTTATCCGCATCCTGGATTAAAAAGTGACGTGGCATGACGTGTCAGTTTTTTAATGCTACATGACGTGATTATTATCTACTTGTCACGTCAATTTTGGTCTTATAATTTGTCGATTTAATCAATTTTGATCATTTTTTCATGCCACGTCACTTTTTAATCTAGGGTGCGGATAAAAAATGACCAAAATTGATGAAATCGACAAATTATGGGCCCCAAATTGAAAGTGGTCAATATCGGGGTGATTTTTTGGACAGTGGCCAAATTATAGGATCAATTTTGAATTTTTGCCTACATATATATACCCGGTCTCTAAGTTAAGACATAAAGGCCATTAGGCCAATGAGAGCACAACACGTGCCTCTACTAAGTTTGCAAATATAAGAAAGTGAGATGCGTTTATATAAGTAAAACACGCCTTAATGAGCTGAAAAAAAGAAAAAAAAAAGCGTAACCATACTAACTAACTAATGTCGTGAAAAGAAACATATGAACTAATGAGAACATAATGAAACATAAATCGATCATCATGTCAACATAATATTTGATTTTGCTATTAAATAAATGAATTTTTATACTTAGTATATACTTTTTATGGGAAAATGTACATCTATATGTTGTTATTAATTCATTTAAATCTCAAAATCATGTTAGATTTGAATGAGAAATTAATTATACAGTTGAAATGTGAGGAATTTGAGTTTATATGATTCAAAATTGAGTTAAAAAAACACAAAGATTGAAGGATTTGTCAATTTCTGCCGTTGTCGAATGTTTGGACAAAAAAATGAATCATAATCATGTTGTAATCATAATAAAACTCTAGAAGGCTTCGTTGGGGACGAGTAAGTAAAAACGGAACACGATCCGAGTCTTGATGGAAGATCATGTCTTTTGTTACTATAAAACCCATGGAGATGTCAAATTGTCAATGAACATCAATGATATTAGAATATAATACCATTTTGAGTTGTTTCACATCCTTTATATAAGGAAAATATTAAAATATATATATATATATATATATATATATATAATGGATAAAACAATGTTGGTAGATATATAAGTGAAGTCAAATATATAAAATAATATCGGTTAGGCCAAGTGGCTTGAAATCTCATTTTAATACTACAAGTGCCAGGTTCAACCTCTCTCCATGTAATTTCTTTCTTTTGCAATTATGCCACATAATCGCCACCTAAGCATACAACTCAGCAACGACAGAAATTGGAGGAAAACGGTGCGGTTCCACTAACTTGAAGCCCACCAAAGCGGGGAAAGCCCATATGAAGCCCAAGTGGGGTTACATCCTTATCCCAAAACCAATTGGTGGAAGGAGGAATAACCCATTAGACTTATAAAATTGGTCTATTTTCCATGTATGAGCGCGGTCACCAATAGAACCGGCCCACCAAAGCGGGGAAAGCCCATATGAAGCCCAAGTGGGGTTTCATCCCCATTCTAAAACCAATTAGTGGAAGGAGAAGTAGCTCATAGACTTATAAAATGAGTCTATTTTTCATGTATGAGCACGGTCTAGAACCAGGTCTGATATCATGGCAGAAACTGGGGAAAAACGGGTGCGGTCCCACTAACATGAAGCGCATTAAAGAGGGGAAAGCTCATATGAAGCCCAAGTGGTTTCATCCCAAAACAATTGGTGGAAGGAGGAGTAGCCCATTAAACTTATAAAGTGGGTCTATTTTCCATGTATGAACGATGTGGTACAACTGACAAGTGATATACTAACAAATCTATGGATTAGCCTAATCAATTTGGGTGGCAGCAAATACATTACTAACTAACTAATGTCGTGAAAAAACATATGAACTAATGAGAACATAATGAAACATAAATCGATCATCATGTCAACATAATATTTGATTTTGTTATTAAATAAATGAATTTTTATACTTAGTATATACTTTTTATGGGAAAATGTACATCTATATGTTGTTATTAATTCATTTAAATCTCAAAATCATGTTAGATTTGAATGAGAAATTAATTATACAGTTGAAATGTGAAGAATTTGAGTTTATATGATTCAAAATTGAGTTTAAAAAACACAAAGATTGAAGGATTTGTCAATTTCTGCCGTTGTCAAATGTTTGGACAAAAAAATGAATCATAATCATGTTGTAATCATGATAAAACTCTAGAAGGTTTCGTTGGGGACGAGTAAGTAAAAACGGGACACGATCCGAGTCTTGATGGAAGATCATGTCTTTTGATACTATAAAACCCATGGAGATGTCAATGAACATCAATGATATTAGAATATAATACCATTTTGAGTTGTTTCACATCCTTTATATAAGGAAAATATTAATATATATATATATATATATATATATATATAATGGATAAAACAATGTTGGTAGATATATAAGTGAAGTCAAATATATAAAATAATATCGGTTAGGCCAAGTGGCTTGAAATCTCATTTTAATACTACAAGTGTCAGGTTCAACCTCTCTCCATGTAATTTCTTTTGCAATTATGCCACATAATCGCCACCTAAGCATACAACTCAGCAACGACAGAAATTGGAGGAAAACGGTGCGGTTCCACTAACATGAAGCCCACCAAAGCGGGGAAAGCCCATATGAAGCTCAAGTGGGGTTACATCCTTATCCCAAAACCAATTGGTGGAAGGAGGAATAACCCATTAGACTTATAAAATTGGTCTATTTTCCATGTATGAGCGCGGTCACCAATAGAACCGGCCCACCAAAGCGGGAAAAGCCCATATGAAGCCCAAGTGGGGTTTCATCCCCATTCTAAAACCAATTAGTGGAAGGAGGAGTAGCCCATAGACTTATAAAATGAGTCTATTTTTCATGTATGAGCACGGTCTAGAACCGGTTCTGATATCATGGCAGAAACTGGGGAAAAACGGGTGCGGTCCCACTAACATGAAGCGCACTAAAGAGGGGAAAGCTCATATGAAGCCCAAGTGGTTTCATCCCAAAACAATTGGTGGAAGGAGGAGTAGTCCATTAAACTTATAAAGTGGGTCTATTTTCCATGTATGAACGATGTGGTACAACTGACAAGTGATATACTAACAAATCTATGGATTAGCCTAATCAATTTGGGTGGCAGCAAATACATTACCCAAATAATAATTAATTATATGACTCATTGTTGCTTATGGGCTCATATATTAATATAATGTTTCCAAATTATTAATCCAATAAATATAGTTTCAGCACTTTCACGTTTTCTTCATGGTTTTCTACGGGATTTGCTACAACAATCAACAGAGCAGTGCGTCCGTGGGACCCATTATTAGATTTTTCAGATTATTGTTTCATTCGTTAATGTTGGAAAATCGGATTTATGTTGTGGTGTTCTTCGTCATATTATTTATCTTTATAAAACATTCTGTGTTCAAACTTTTAAACATGATATTATTTTTTTGTGTCCTCTATATATTATTCAGTTTTTTCTTTTCCTTTTATAGTTCTTTTTTTAAAAAAAAAAAACCAACACCCCAGTAAAATGGAGGATTATAATTAAGAAAACATATACACATGTAATAATTCTTCAAATTATTTTCTGCAGTCAGAGATTGATTGATGAAGACGAGACCGTCATTGCTTATTTGAATAAATATGACCGTCTTCGGGTTTAATCGGTTTTGATGTCTCATTATTATTCGTACTATTTTATTTTATTTCCTTTAGGTAATTAGTATTTTGGGGTAGAAAAATAATTATCTTGCAATTGCGGGACAAGATTAGAAAACTTTATTTTCCTTTTCATTTATATGCTGTTGGAAGAGTTAGGGATTTTTAGTTTTTGAACGATTGAAAAATTTATCTGCTTGAGAGAGTATCTCATTTTTATCAGTTCTTGAGAGAGTATCTCAATTTAATTCTAGTTCGTATTACGCTCAACATCACTAATCTGGCTGAAGCGGTGAGGCTGAATTTCAATATTTATAACTTACGTGGCACGCTTCACTTTAAAATGAATAATGAAA